CCCACCAGCAGTGAGTCCCAATCTCTCCACGTCCTAGCCTGGCCAGCATTTGTTATTTTGTGTCTTGTTGAACTTTGCTACTAGTGCTGGAGCAAGATGGTATCTCATTGTTTTGATTTACATCTCTCTAATGGCTAATGATCGTGAGCATTTCTTCATATGTTTGTTGGCTGCCTGAATATCCTCCTTTGTGAAGTGTCTATTCATGTTTTCTGCACATTTTTAATTGGATTATCTGTCTTTTAGTTACTGAGGTGTTGGAGTTTTCTATAAATTCTAGAGATAAGTCTCTTGTCAGATATGTCATTGCCAAATATTTTTTCCCAATCTGTAGGTTCTCTTTTGACTCTTTTGGAGAAGTCTTTGGAAGCACATAAAAATTTACTTTTTAGAAGGTCCCATTCATCTAGTTTCTCTTCTGCTGCTTGTGCATTTTGGGTTATGCTTGATAGTTTATTTATGCCATATAATAGGGCCCCTAAATTTGCCCATAGTTTTTCCTTGAGGAACTGTATAGTTTTAGGTTTCACATTTAAGTCTTTGATCCATCTGGAGTTTATTTTTGTGTATGGTGTGAGATAGAGATCTTGTTTCATTTTTCTGCAAATGAATACACAGTTTTGCCAGCACCATTTATTAAACATTCTCTTCCCCATTTAATGGATTTCAGCCCTTTTGTCAAGCATCAGCTGACCATAGGTCGATGGATCTATTTCTGGGTTCTCAATTCTATTCCATTAGTATATGTGTTTGTTATTATACCATTACCAGGCAGTTTTGACTACTGTGGCTATAGAGTAGGTTTTGAGATCTGGCAGTGTGAGACCTCCTACTTTGTTCTTCTTCTTCAGTAGTGCTTTGCTTATCTGAGTTCTTTCTCCTTTCCAAGTAAAGTTAGTGATTCGTTTTTCCATATACTTAAAAAATGTTGATGGGATCTGGATTGGGATTGCATTGAATGTGTAGATTGCTTTGAGTAAAATTGACATTTTCATAATGTTCATTCTTCCAATCCACGAGCATGGGATGTTTTTCCATTTATGAAGATCTCTTATGGTTTCTTGAAGTAGTTTTTATACTTTTCTTTATACAGGTCTTTTGTGTCCCTGGTAAGATTTATTCCCAAGTATTTTATTTGTTTGGTAGCTATTGTAAATGGTATTGATTTCCTTACTTCTTTTTAAACAATCTCTTTGCTGGTGTAGAGGAATCCAACTGATTTTTGGATGTTGATCTTATATCCTGCCATGATGCTAAATCTCTCGATTAGTTCTAGTAGAGGCCAGTATTAAACTTATTTGGGTAAACAAGGCAAAGATAGTATTAAAAAAAAGAAATATAAATCATTTTGCTCATGAACTTAGCTGCAAAAACCTCAACCAAATATTAAGTCAAATCCAACAAGGTATATAAGTAGAATTATACACCGTGACCATGTAGGACTTATTCCAGATACTCTAGTTCATTTGAAAACTAGTCACTGTCATCCACCATATCAATAGGCTGAAGAGGAAAAATCATATCAGCTGACACAGAAAAAGCATTTTAACAAAATCCGGTGCCTATTCATTATTTTTTTAAAAAAAGTAACGGAAAACAAACTATTGAGTTAGGAAGTGAGGCTAACTGACTCGGAAACCCAAGGGAGGTCACTATGAGTTAGAATCGACTTGATGGCAGTGAGTTTGGTTTTGGTTTAGTCCCTATTTATAGATGAAGGAGCGCTGATGGTATAGCGGTTAAGATATTTGGCTGCTAACCAGAAGGTTGGCAGTTCAAACCCACTGGTGAGTCACTCCACAGAAGGAAGATGACACAGTCTATTTGCGTAGAGATTTACAACCTTGGAAAAGCTATGGGGCAGTTCTACTGTGCCCTGTAAGGCTGCTATGAATCTGAATAGATTCAATGGCAGTGGGTTTGGTCTATTCATAGATGACATGACTGTCTACACAGAAACACCTAGAACCAATAAATGAGTTCAGTAGGTCTCAGGATTCAAATCAACAAATAAAAGTCAACCCCATTTCTGTGTATTAACAATGAATGTGCAGAAACCAAAATTTAAAATGATAGTATTTACAGTCATTCCAAAGAAAAGTAATTACTAAGGTGTACACTTAAGAAAACATGCACAAGATCTAATGTGCTGAAAATTGCAAAATACTGATAAAGAGGACCTAAATAAGTGGAGAGCTGTATTATATTTATATTAATGTATTGGAAGATTCACCATAGTAAAATACCAGTTTTCCCAAAATTGATCTATAGGATTAATGCAATTACTGTCAAAATCCCAGCAAGGTTTTTTCACAGGCATGGACAAACTTACTCTAAAATTTATATGAAAAGGCATAAGCCCTAGAAGCTAAAACAATCTTCAAAAAGAGACATTAAATGGAAAGAATCACTCTATCCAATATTAAGGCCTATTATATAGCTTAAAAAAAAAAAAGCTCTGGTGACATAGTACCTAAGGCATTTGACTGCTAACCAGAAAGCTGGTGGTTCAAACCCACTGGCTACTCCTCGGAAGGAAGGTTGGGCAATCTACTTCCATAGAGATACCGCCTCAGAAACCCAAAGAGGGGTCGCTATGAGTCAGATCAGACTCGATGGCAGTGGATAAGGTGGGGTAATTATATAGCTACAACAATCACAATAGTGTAGTATTTGTAGAGGTTGAGATAGACAGGTAACTAAATTAGCAGGACAGAGTAGAGAACACAGAAGGAAATCCATAAAAATATGCCTGACTGATAATTTGGCAGAGGTACAAAACCGATTCAGTAAAGGAAGGGGGTAGTGTTTTCAATAAAGTTTTAGAGCATTTGAACAACAACAAGAAAAAAAGCCTTAACCTAAACCTCATATTTTATACAAAAATTAACTCAAGATGGATCATGGCCTTAAATGTAAAACTATACACCTTTTTAGGAAAAAATAAAAATAGGAGAAAATCTTCCGAATGGGAGCTGAGTTCCTTCTTATACTTGATGCAAAAAGTATGATCTATTAAAGGAAAATTTGATAAATTAGAAAAATTAAAAACTTCTGTTCTAGGAAAATCTTACTAAGGAGGATGAAAAGACAAGCTATAGACAGCTAGAAAATATTTCAAACCACATATCCAACAAAGAACTACTGTCTTGAATATATGAAGAACTCTAAAAACTCAGCAGTAAAAAAATCAACAATCCAGTTAGAAGGGGTGAAAGATAAAGTGACAACAAATGGTGGCAAGGATGCAGAGAAAGGGGATCACTCATACATTCCCGGTTGGACTGGTACGGCCACCCTGGAAAAACAGTTTGGCAGTTTTTTATTAAACTAAACATGCAACTCCTATATGGCACAGCAGTTGTACTCTTGGACACAACCCAGAGAAATGTAAGCATATGTTCACAAAAACCTATACACAAATACTCATAGCAGCTTTATTCGTAACAGCCCAAGACTGGAAATAACTCCAGATGTCCTTCAACAGATTAGTTAAACAAACTGGTACATCCACACCATGGAATATTAGTTGGCATTAAAAAAAAAAAAAAGAATGAACTATTGATAAATGCAACAATTTCGATGAATCTTTAGGGAATTATGCTGAGTGAAGAAAGTTAATCCCAAACGATTGCATGCTATATTATTCAATTTATATAACATTGTTGAAATAACATTGTAGAAATAGAGAAGAGGGGTCACGGACAGGGTAGGGTTGGGGGGATGGGCTGGAGAGAGGGGTGTGGCTATGCAAGGGCACCCAGGATCCTTTTCGGTGGTGGATCTGTTCTGTCTCTTAACTGTATCAATGTCAGTAACCACATTGTGATGCTATACTGTAGTTTTACAAGATGTTTTCCACCTTTTTGAGGGTAGCTAAAGGACACACTGGATCTCTGTTTCTTACAATTGCTTACGAGTCTACAATTTCAAAATAAAAAGTTGGACAAAGAAAAAAGCCTAATGATACCTGCCCTTTCCCTTATGGAGAATCATCATAAGTATCACAGGAGGTAGAAGTTGAGGTGTAGTGTCATGGCAGGTGCACATGAGATAACCATGAGCTGTACCCGTTACTGTATTTATTTTGACTCCATATCTTCTCTGTTGTTGTTCTTAGGTGCCCTCGAGTCAGACCCGACTCAGAGCCACCCCTCCTTGGGTTTCTGAGGCAGTATCACTATGGAAGAGATTGCCCCATCTTCCTTCCGAAGAGTGGCTGGTGGGTTTGAACCGCCAGCCTTCTGGTTAGCAGTCAGGTGCCTTAGGCACTATGCTACCAGAGCTCCCCATATCTACTCTACCTTATCCAAAAGTATTTATTGTAGTTTTTATGTATTGTACATTTAACTATTAAACAAATATTTTTGAGGGCTTTCTTTGTGCTGGTCACATCAGGAATTTAAAAAAAAAGATGGGAAAAGAAGTGCGATTGACTGAGTATATCCCCAGCACTAAATTTCACATGTGAACAATGTTGATACAGGGTGAATTTGGAGCTAGTATTTGTTTTTAAAGTTTTTTTCTTTCCTTTGTTGTAACATAATTTTAATTTTACATTTTAAGTTTCAAGGGACTTATAAAGGTTATAGTGTTTGATTAACCAACTTAACTTGGTTTTCATGTTTTAATACCAGTTTGGAATGCATCATGCAGTTGAAGTTGATTCTTTGATTAATTGGCAGCATTTTTTCGTTCTTAATGATACATAAAATAATGGTACATCTGCCACTTAGTGGCATCTTAGGTTCTGTGAGATCTGATAATAATGTCTAATACTGTTTTTATAGTTAACATCTGAATATTATACCTGTTGTGATTTTATTAGTTTTAGAGGGAGCCTTTTTTTTTTCCCCTCCTATAGAGAGACTGAACAATTTGAGGATCTGGTGGTAAATTCAGTAATATTCTGTGGCAGTTATACATTATATATTTATATATACCCAAATGCTGAAACCTCATTTCCCCTCATCTTTTTTTTTCCCCCTTTGTTTTTCAAGTGTCGATATACAGTATCTGGTTTTATGACAAGAATGACTGTCACCGCATAGCCAAACTCATGGCCAAGTAAGTATTTATATTACCCCATAGATTTGATTAATGGTATAGAAGAGATGAAAAAAAATATCTTTTCCTTCAATTCACTTTGTTAACAGAATCTATTAACTCATGTATTTCCCTCATTTCCTATTTCTTGTCAAAAATTTGGAAATCTAAAGTTACCTATAATCCTCCTGCCCTGGGGTTAGCATTCCATTTGTTTCCTTCCCATCTTTTTTTCCGTGTACATTAGATTGATGGGTGTGACTTTTTTTTTTTTTACAAAAATATTAACATACTGTATGTCCTACCTTTTCATGTCAGAAGCATTTTTCCAAAGCATTAATAGTCCTTTATAGTATTTATAGTGACCCCATTGTATTTGATCCTATGGGCAGATCATTATTTAACCAGAACCTTACTGTTCAGCATATTGGTTGAGGCCATCAGGCTGCCAAGAATATCATCAGCCTAACTACTATATGAAGCTCTGGTAGCTTAGTGCCTAAGGCACTTGACTGCTAACTAGAAGGCTGGCAGTTCAAACCCACCAGCCACTCCTCGGAAGGAAGATGGGGCAATCTACTTCCATAGGGATACTGCCTCGGAAACCCAAGGAGGGGTTGCTATGAGTCGGGTCCGACTCGACGGCACATAACAACAACCACAACTACCATATGCAGTAGTTCTGATTTAGGTTCTGCCCAGATTTCCGCAAAAACAAGGGGTACCCATTCAGTTGCCTGATAGAGAACTCTTGCATGTGTCCATGATTAATTTCTTTTAAGTGAATTTGTTTTTGACAGATTCTAGTTTTAGCAGTACCCAATCCACTAATGAAATGTGTTCCAGGAGATTATTTGAATATCATCATTTTGGGATTTGGAGAGTAGTTTCCGTTGAATTAATGTTCTAAAGAGTGGCTCATTTTCTTTGTCAAGCTAGCCCACAAAGCTGCCCCTCTGTCAAATCAAAATTCCCTTTGCTCTCCTGCAAGATTTTTATCTACATGTTTGTGTAGCTTATGTGAGTCCCAGTTCTGGAAGCCCAGGACCCTGTTGCTACAGCGGTCAGGGCAGAATGCTAAAATAGGCTACGTGTCTTGTATACTTCTGTTTCCCTTTCAGTTCTTGTGTGGACCGCCTCAGAAATGTGGCCATCTTTTCCCCTCTGTCAAATCAGAGTTCCCTTTGCTCTCCAGCATGGTTTTTATCTACATGTTTGGAAGTAAACAGTCTTAAATTTTGGGAACAGTCTAATATTAACTAATTCCTATAAAAGTGTAACTGAATGATTAACTCCAAAACCTCAATTCCAGGTATATTTGCATTTTTTAAAAAAAAGATGCACGTTAGTAAACAAACAAAACAAACCACGACTAAAACCAAGTTACAACCCAGGACTACTAACATGTCCTAGTTGGATGTCTACCAGTCTCCTGCCTTGTCGTCTGTTCTGGCTGTGAGCTTACAGGACAGGTCCATGTGTATTACTGTATGCCACTGAAGGCATTGTTCCATAAGAACTGGTAACTACTCATATTTGAAAATGCATTGGGTTTTGTTTTGGTTTGGCTTTTTTTTGTGATTTGGGTGAAAGTTTATAGAGCAAATTCACTTTCCATACAGCAGTTCACATACATGTTTTCTCTTGACATTGACTACAATTTACCACAATGCAACAGCTCCCCTCCCATTTCCTCCCCATAGTTACCTCTTCCCTGTGTCCATCCCTCCATGCACTCCTGCCCCTGAGCTGTGTCCCTGTGCATACACAGCCCTTCTATTCTCCCATGATTGTTTTCTCCAAGGAGTGTATCGACCTAATGTAAATGTTCAGCTCATATGCCTGTCTTTTGTTTGGCTGAAAGCCACAGGAGTGGGTTCAATTCCAGACCTGACGGGAAACTAGGGGCCGTAGTCTCATTGGTAGAATCACACTTTGTTTTTAGAATATCTTTTCTCTAAAAAAAATAAAACAACTTTTAAACAAACCCATTCATTCTTAAAACTTTCTGATTTTGTATGGAGAGGATAAGGATTACCACATTTTTTAATACTTTTGAAAGTGACAGAGAAGACAGCTTACTTTGTGTTACTGAAAAGATACAGGTTTGTTGATTGTTGCTGATCCAGAATATTTTTCTTAAATATCTAACCCTCAGAAATTGAGAGTTTTGTGTCCTGTTTGGGAGATTCTGGCTTTTTAAGCTTTTAGAGAAAATGAATTTGAGCTTTTTTTCTCTATCAGGTCAAGTGATACCTTTAATGCTTTAGATGGTAAATGAAACTGACAGCTGAAGGCTTATCTGAAACTATTGTATTGAATCCAAAAATGAAATGAAGAAATAGAAATGATGGGAAGCAGGAAGGAGAAAGAAGAGCATTTAGGGCTCTTGTACTAGAAATGCCTGAAAGAGCAACATTTGCTTCAATTTTTAGCTTGTTTGACAAGGAGATCTTAAAAGTAATTAGAATATTCCCATATGAAACTGTTGGTAGGTCGAGTTTCCAAGTTTCTAGCCTATTTAGCACCAAAGAGGATACCTTACATATTAACATTAGCTCTAATAAATGAATGCCTGGTCACCAAAGATTTTTTTATTATTACTTTTCTTTGCTCTAAATCTGCCTGTATACCACCTGTGTTTACTACACATTTCTGAATATTACCTCTGCTAACCAAAATTACAGGTAAAACGCTCTGGTATATTGTCCTCTAAATAAATGTGCCTTGTCAATGCCTATCAAATTCAGTTCTTCCTATCACTATTTTGGAAACTACAATATAATAAAAATTCTCCAAGTAAAAAAATTGGTTTATTCTAAAAGATACTTATGAAAAAAGAGAAGTTGTGTAGGAGAGTGAGTGAGCTTCTAGAACTTCTGGATCTGTACTATTTCTAAATTTGGAAATCCTTTGGGTGACAGGCAGTGGCAGAGTTTCACTAAAGTTAGAAGATACTGACTCTTCTAAAGAGAAGAATCCATCTGCCAAAAACTTTTAACAATAAAACCTTTTTGAATATTTGCCCATTTAGACTGTACAATTTGAAGAACTCGTGGAAATGAGATTATCCCTAATATAACAGGTAGTCTCAGAGGCACAATTGAGTATTTGAGAGGAACAAAGAGATGTGGGGTCACTGTTGATAATGCTTGAACCAGAGTCCCATCCACCTACTACTCCTGACAGCTTCTGGTTTTTTAGTAGCAGTGAGGGTTATACAGTGGCCTGTCCACAGGTATAAACAGTGATGAATATGAGAAATGTTCTTTTAAACCAAGAGCTCATATCCATTCCTGGTTCAGGGAAGAGTTGAATTTCCCCATGACCAACCAGGTAACATGGTAGGAAGTAGATGGAAAACTGGCTTTGTGACAGGAGTCATTTATGAAGTTGGATACAGGCTGGTGCGGCTTACAACTGAATGATAAATAAACAAGTCATTTAAAATAGTGTTCTCTTCTGTGTGCGTGTGTGTGTGTTTTAAAGTAGTGCATGTCAAGTGTAGAAAATGCAAAAAAGTACCAAAAAAAGAAGTTGAAATTGTTTGTTCTCTGCCATCGAGAAATAACTGATACATACCTCCACTCTTGTTTTTCTTTGAAATAAGTCTCACAGTTGAGACAGTGCAGTATTTCTTTTCCAAGAGTTGGCTTCCATTATGGATATAAAATACACAACATTATGAATACAGATTCATCTGACTTCATACAACATTCCAGTCATCTTTCAGTCTACCATGTGTCTGTTGTTCTACATTAGTTTAGAAGTAATAATCTTATTAAGAACTGCCATAATCTAAATAAAGAAATGACATAATACCCTAAAGCAGCATTTTCCAATCAGGAATCCTGCATCAGAGGAAGATTCTTCGTCAAAATGTGGGAAGATCTACAAGTCCACCCTTCTCAGAGAATCACAGTATACCCTAGCATGTTAGGCATGTCAGAATAGTTACTCCTGTAAAACTTGTTTAACATTGCTTAACTTAACCTATCTATGCCTGTTGTACCACCACCCCCTTTAGGTAGGCTGTTTTGGATAGGCTGCTTTAAAGCAGTGAACTGACGTTGGCCTATTGTCCTGGTCCTCTTATTCCACAAAAACAAGCCTTCTGCTCCTGAATTGTTTTATTGCCTGCCATCATCACTGTCTAGGAAGTTCTCAGTTAATACAAGTATCAAGTTCTGTCTGTGCCCATAATAGCCCATGGCAGATGTTGTTATGTGCCATCAAGTCGGACCTGACTCATAGCCACCCTTCCTTGGGTTTCCAAGGCAGTATCACTACGGAAGTAGATTGCACAACCTTCCTTCCAAGGAGTGGCTGGTGGGTTTGAACCACCAGCCTTCTGGTTAGCAGTCAAATGCCTTAGGCACTATGCTACCAGAGCTCCTCCCATGGCAGGTAGACCCATTCATTTCAGTTAGGGCTGAAAGCTAAATGCATTCTCTGTCTACTATCTCTCTTGCTATATGTATGTGTGTGTGTGTATGTACACACACATACATACATGTATGTGTGTATATATGTATACACACACACACACACTTTAAAAAAAAAAAACTCACTGCCATCGAGTTGGATGACTCATAGCAACCCCTCCTTTGGTTTCTGAGGTGATATCACTACAGAAGTAGATTGCCCAATCTTCCTTCCAAGGAGTGACTGGTGGGTTTGACCTGCCAGCCTTCTGGTTAGCAGTCAGATGCCTTAGGCACTGCTATGTGTGTGTATATGTATGTGTGTGTGTATATATATATATGTATGTATATATCACTTGCCCTATTAAAATCTATAATTTATTATACAAATGATTCCAAGTTTGAAGAAAAGTGTATAACATATATCTTTGGTGCTCACCACCCAGCTTTTAGTTCCTCATATTTTGCTATAAACACTTCAGACTTTTGAATAGAGGAGAGTTGGGTATATTAAAAATTAAACCCCACAAGTAGATTTGAAGACTCTGTAACCCAATCTGACTTTTCTTGCTTTATGCATTTTCAAGTGAAAAATTAGCTTAAGCAGCATCAATCAAAATAAAGAGCATTCCCCTGGAAGACCTCTGAGCTCAGTTACCTACTTGGTGATTTTTGAGGAGAAGAAAACTTTTTTTTTTTTTGTAGTGCCATCAGTAACATTAGAAGATTCACCAAGACTTCCATTTCTAAGAAACTAAGCCTGCTTTCTGTTTACCAGGCTAGTATCAATACATCAATACAAACTTTCCCCAGAGGGTTGTTTAGCTCTGCAGCCTGCCAATGTCTTGATAACATTGACATTTTTCAAATTTATTTCAATTACTTTGACTGATTTTGAGATACTTCTAGAGGAAAAAAAAGATACTTCTAGGGGAAAAGTGTTTTTAACCTGCTTCTGCCAATTATGTGAAAGAGTTCTATATTGCTGCCTGTGTAACGATGAAAATACTATTTGGCACTGTTGTGAACAAGCTGGTGAAATGGTAAGTCATATATTGCTGGGATAAGGAACCAAGTCTCCGTGTTTTGTATTGCCAAGAGAGTGCCATTATGTGACACTCTTATTATATCTTTGAAAGATTCATCAAAAAGTTCTTGGGTCAGATCTTGTCTAACGAGGCTTTTCTAAAAGCTGGTTCTCCTCTTCTAGTGTGGTAGAAGAGGAGACACGACGGTCCCAGCAAGCTGCTCGGGATAAGCAGAGTCCCAGCCAGGCCAACGGCTGTAGTGACCACAGGCCCATCGACATCCTGGAGATGCTGAGCAGAGCCAAGGACGAGTACGAGAGGGTGAGGCTCTCTGGGTGCTGACCAGGAAGGACCATAGGGGATGAGGAGGCTTGTGGGGGACTCATGGGCTGGGGAAGACACCTTCAGGGCCAGCAGAAGTAATTTGTTCAGAAAGAAGCTTATGTTATAGTTTTAACCTTAAAAGATAAGGAAAGAAATCAGCTTATCTCAGAGTACTTGATTTTGACAGGAAAGGGCATGCTCTTTACAGTTTACTATGGGGGAAAATGGTTTTGGAGTGCTAGAATTAGCCTGCTCCAGGTAGCACTAGAAAAACTTCACGCCTTTTCACCTCTGCAGTCTCTGTTAAAATAGTCAGTGGGCTTAGGAATCTGTGTAGGTATCTTTGTCTTTGTAAAATGTTCTGATAATTTGCACTCCTTCATACTAAAAGGGATGTTTTTGGTCTCTAATTGGTGGTAGATGCACAATCTACCTTAAACATCATGTAGAACTTTACCAAAATGAGAGACTTTTCTCAAATTCTGTTCTTTCTTTTCTGTTGCCTTTTATCTTATAACTAATAACATTCTTCCAAAATGTGGACAAGATGTAAGATTTGATACTTCAGTTAATTTACTCAGCATGTGTTTATGAATTGTCTTCTGTAGGCTAGGCACTCAGATACTGGTTTTCAAAACCTTTTGGCTTTGGAACTTCTATGGCTTTCATGTGACATCAGTACCTCAAAGTGCCATGGTTCACTGGAGTGAACCTAAAGGTTTCCACTGCTGTACTTTGTTGCAGCAGAATTATAATTGTCACCTTATCCTTTGCTGTAAACCAAAATCAGACTCACTGCTTTCAAAAACAGAAAGAACACATTGTAAATAAATTATCAAAGATTCCGCTAAACCCCAAAATGTTTTAACCTAACCATGTAGTTGTTGTTATTATGTGCCATCGACACAGCAACCCCCCCTTGGGTTTCCGAGGCACCATGGACAACATTTATTCCATATTGTAACCTAACCATGTAGTTGTTGTTATTATGTGCCGTCGACACAGCAACCCCCCCTTGGGTTTCCGAGGCACCATGGACAACATTTATTCCATATTGTGCAAGAATTTTCCTTATAACAGAAGTAACTGTGTTTTCTATAGTTTTAAACTTTGCAGTGTTTACAGAATTAGAAATCAGAAATCTACAGATTCCGACTCATAGTGACCCTATAGGAGAGAGTAGAACTGCCCACATAGGATTTCCAAGGCTGTAAATCCTCACAGAAGCAGACTGCCTCATCTTTCTCCCATGGAGCAGCTGATGGGCTTGAACCCCCAACCTGTTGGTTAGCAGCAGAATGTTTTAACCACTATGCCACCAGAGCTCCTTTATCTAACATTGGATCAAATGCTTTTCTTTCACTGGTTATTTAATATTCATCTCACCAAAAGTTCAAGGAGCAAGGTTTGGAAAAGCACTATCTTAAGGACCATGTTTCTCAAACAGTTTTATTAAAACACTAGCCAAGGTTGTTAGCAGGTGATCCTTGCAAAAAGGTTCTTTGATCATATGAGTTTGGGAAATGTTGTTTACTTGGCTTTCCCTGGGTTTATGATGCTCAGGACTGAGCAGTCCCACGGCAAATAAAATGGAACACTGGTTCTCAGATTCATTTGACCTCAGGACCGTCTTTTGTGCATTGCTCATTAACTAGAGTTAAAATCTAGAATTTAGGGAACATAACTGGAAAAAGCACTCTGGAAGGTAGTTTCCTTTAACTTAAAATAAATGGTCATATATATCTTTGAAAATTAAATATAGGAAAATCAGTCATCTCTGTAAAGAATTTATTGATTCTTTGGCAATGGAATATAAGTTTCAAAAATCATTTTCTGAACTTCTTGGTTACCTCATCTTCACCAGATTCCCTCATGCCTTTAATGAGATCTGAGCTTTTTTTACATAAATACCTTGTTCCATTTTTATAGTTGTTGTTGTTGTTATTTGCTGTCAAGTCGGACCCAACTCATAGTGACCCCTCCTTGGGTTTCCGAGGCGTTATCACTACGGAAGTAGATTGCCCAACCTTCCTTCCGAGGAGTGGCTGGTGGGTTTGAACCGCCAGCCTTCTGGTTAGCAGTCATAGAGGTTTTTCTTTGTCCCGATAACTGATGACTTAAGTCCAGAGTTCTGTCACCCATTCCAAGTAATGGCAGAAACTGTAGGTGTGTTAGAGCACTCTGTGTGCACACTCACCAGGAAATCAACTGGCTTACTTCTCAGGCTTTGAATTGAGCCACGAAAGTACAGACGAGAGTAGAGTAAAGACTTGTCTTTGTAGAGTAAAGACTTGTCTTTGTACACAAAGACTGTAAAGGAACTCTAGGGTCAAGTGGGTATCTAAAACTCTCTAACATGATTTCTAATTCTGTAAACATTACAAAGTTTAAAACTATAGAGAACACAGTTACTTCTGTTGTAAGGAAAATTCTTAAACAGTATAGAATAAATGTTGTCTATGGTTAGGTTAAAACTAAACCTTTTGGGGTTTAATTGAATCTTTGGTAATTGATTTACAATGTGTTCTTTCTGTTTTTGAAAGCTGTGAATAGGTAGTACGTCCTTAAACAAGAGTTTTGTTTTCTTACCTGTACTTCCTGCAATTGTAACCAGATGGGAACCAGCATTAGCAGTGACCCACAAATCCATATCCTAGTATTTGGATGGGCTCTCCTGGACTATTGAATGGTTCAGTGGGCCCTTTGCCTTAGGTAGAGACTTGGGGTGTTGGCAGAGTCGAGGCTCAGCACAGGTGTAAGCTAGGCTTCATTGAGGGGATTTAATCCCGGAGTTACTCTCTCTAATGAGCATTTTATGCGTAGCTCCTGTATTTTGTTTTAACCAGCTTTCTGTATTTTCAATGTAAAGAAAGATGGTTGAAACTAGTGTCCTTAACAGTTGGCCCATTCTGAGTTACTTCTAGCCACAGGATATAATTCTGGACTTGAGTGGGGTTTGGTTTAGTTTTAGTTTAATTGCAGAAAATGAAGAAAAAGCACAGATCTTTCATTGTCATTTTCTTCTCAAAATAGGAACCATTCTTTTTCTTATGCATATTAATTATAAAAATTTTAATGTTTAAAAATTACAGTGGAAAAAAAAAGAAAAACCTAATTCTACCACCTAGAAATAATCACTGCTAATATCTGTGTCCTTCTAAAAATACGCATAAGTATGTCTCAGTGTGTATAGTATGTTTGTGTATATTAGTTTTAGTAAAGTACTCTTTTATAACTTTTTTTTTCTCCCACAGAACAGTATCTTTTTATTGACAACTATTCATGTCTATCACTGGCTTTCAAATTATCATCCCTAGTGTTCTACAGAGGTGTGTGTGTGAGTGGTTTGCCAGTGGGGCAGATTTGGGACCATTGGAGCATTTCTATTTATCTTTTTTTTTTTTTTTTTTTTTAATTTATCTATCCCACAGAGACTCTGTGTGAAATCTCATTTGCGAGAAAGAAAAGTTTTTATGAAAAGAATTATGACGTTACTAACTAACATCATTTTGCCTTCCTTAAGTTACATAAATAATACCTTAGGTTTTCCTAATTCTTTCTGTTATGAACACAGCAATATATCTTTGTAGCTAAATTTTTATGTACAGTGTAAATTTTTTCTTAAGGTAAATTACTTGAAAGGCCCTGTAACAGCTATAAAAATTTCTTAAGATCATTTAAAGTACCAGTCTCATAGCTTATGTTTGAGTTAAATAGTGTAAATTTAAATACCCCAAGAGCCAGATAGATCATGGAAGTTAGTAAAATGGGCCAGGGTTTTTCCCTGTCGGAAAAGGCCAGTTGCAGCCCAGCTACAGTCATTTATCACCAAATGTTCTGGTGTTGCTAGATCCTCCAGCTTCTCTCCAAAAATGACAAGTCTCAGTTTTTATGTGAAAACTCCCAGCTTTTTAAATGTTTCTAAATGTTTGGCCCTTCTCTTTTAAGAACTTTTTAGTTTATGTTTCTGTAAACTTTTTAAATCTAAGCATTTCCTATAACGTGATGATACTGGTTGATGGTGATGTTGCACAAAGACGTGTGTTAGAAGATGAAAGTATTTCATAACCTTTCACAGACTATTTTACCTGTATTCAAATGGGTAGCCCAGAGTAAATGGTATTCTGAGATAACATAAGGATTTAAGGACTATGTTACTGTAGTAGAAAAATAGCATATTTATCATTTAACACCTGAGCGCTTTCTTTTATGCTAAGCACATACCATTATAGTATGATATCAAGGAATATATGATGATTTTAACAAATGGGGTTAGAACAAGTGGATGGCCATATGCCTGCCCCATATAAAAGAACTTCAGCCTGAATGTCACACCTCACACAAAAATTAAGTCAAAATTGATCAGAGATCGAATTGTAAAATGTAAAACTATAAAAATAAAAATATATTTACCATATGACCCAGGAGTACTACTTTTAGATAAATTTATTCGAGAGACATGATGCTTTTGTCCACACAAAAGTCTGTGCACAAATGTTTATAGCACCTGGTGAATGCTTAAACAAACTTTTAATATATTCCAAGAGTGAAATACTACTCAGTAATAAAAAGGAATGAGCTATTAATACCATACAGCAACTCAAGTGACTCAAGGGATTATGCTGAGTGAAAGAAGCCAGTCTCAAAAGGCTAGAGAATACACAGTGACAACAAACAGATCATTTGTTGCCAGGAATTCCACGGGGGGTTTGGGGGAGCATGGCCACAATAGGACAGCATGAGGGAGCTTTTTGGGATAGTAAAACAGTTTTGTATCCTGATTGTGGTGGTAATTACAAAAATAGAACTGTGCACCCCCAAAAAAAACACTTAACTATTCTGTATTTTGATGAAATAGAAAAGAATATATGATCATGTCATTGGTTTTTCCTTAAAAGGGTGATAAAAATAACAGTTGTTGCTAACACAGTTGTCTAAGAGTGCTCAGATTTATTATATACATGAGGGTCTGAAAATATTTTTGATTTTTTTTTTTTTTTTTTTTGCTTGTTTTTTTAAAACAGTATCTCAGATAGCCTCAAGTGCTATTTTGTTAGCCAAATAATAAAGAACAAACTTTTTCACATGATAATGCTTTTTTAATTTTTTTAAGAATCAGATGGGCGACTCAAATATCTCCAGCCCTGGGTTACAGCCAAGCACTCAGCTGGGAAGTACAGAGACTCTAGAAGAGATGCCTTCCGGGTCACAGGAGAAGGTTTGTACAGCTAAAGACCTAGCTTAGCTTTGTGCAGAGCAGCAAAACAAAAGAAGTCACACTTTGTAAAGATTTTAATGAAGTACAAGTTTGATTTGTCACCTAACGTGGTATATCCATTCAGCAACATGTATTGAATAGCATAATGACATCCACCCAGATCATTTCTCCTAGTCCACATAACTGTCTTTGATCTGGATTTTGTCATAACCTCTCCTATCTGGTCTCCCAGCTTTTGCCCTTGCCACTGTCTTACTTATTCTTAACCCAGTAGTCAGAGTAATCCTGGTAAAATGTAAGTCAAATTGTGACATTTCTCTGTGTAAAGCCCTCCAGTGGTGTCCTGTCTCACTGAAATACAAGCCAATGTCTTGGCAGTGGCCGATGAGGCCCCCACCTGCTATGACTCCACTGTCTCTGGCCTCATTTTTACCACTGCCATGCTCACTTAGCCCCAGCCTCATTGCCTTTCTCGCTGTTCCTCAAACATCCTGGACGTGCTTCTGCCTGAGGATAGGTCTTTGCACTTGCAGTTCTCTTGGCCTGCAATACTTTCCTCCTACATAGAACTTGTTCTTTTTCCTCCTCCAATTCTCAAGTGCCTTCCATAAAGGTGAGAACTTCTCAGAACACCCTATTTAAAATAACAACCCACCCACCCTCCTACTCTGCTTCATTTTTTCCTTAAGCCATAATAACCAACTGACTGGTTTGTGGTCCCCTCCACCCGAATGTAAGCTCCATGGGGCAGGCATTTTTGTGTGCCTTGCTCATTGCTGCATCTTCAGCTTCTAGCATTATAAACATTTATTGAATGAATGAACTCCCTTTATAACTGATGGCCTGGTAAATGAACAGGAATTTTTCACAGTCAAGTAAAACTCACCATTTTCTAACTAAATTTTTTATTTTGAGATAAATGCAGATTTATACATGCAATTATAAGAAATAATACAGAGAGATTACAAATATGCTATACTCCTTTCCTCTTTGTTAACACCTTGCAAAATATAGTATAATATCACAATCAGGATATTGATTCAGCCTACTAAATCTTGTTTAGATTTCTTAAGTTTTACCTTGTGCATGTTATGTGTGTATGTATATTTAGTCCTGTTCAACTTTGTCACATGTATAGGTTCATATATCCACCACCACAGTCAAGTAATAGAGAGTTCCATCACAACAAGGATTGTTGCCCTTTTATAATCACACTGACTTCCCTCTCATACCCTCCCTGCTCCCCCTTGTGTCCTTAACCCCTGGAAATCACTAATCTATTCTCCTGTTCTGTCATTTTATCATTTCAAGAATTAACTATGTGAGTAGACTCATATAATAAATAACCTTTCAGGATTGCCTTTCTCCACTCAGCAAAATTCCTAGAGATTCATTCAAGTTATTACTATATCATTTATTGCTGAGTAATATTGCATGATATGGATATGCCACTGTTTATTTAACCATTTACCTGTTGAAGGCCATCTGGGTTGTTTCCAGGTTTGGGCCACAATGGATAAAGCTCCTGTGAACATTCACGTATAAGTTGTTGTGTGAACATGAATTTCAACTTCTCTGGGATAAATGCCCAGGAGTGTAATTGCTGAGTTAAATGTGTGATAGTTGCATGTTTAGTTTAATAAGAAAATGCCAGACTTTTCCAAACATGGCTGTACCATTTTACATTCCCACCAGCAATGTATCTATTATGTTTTTAGGTACTTAAATTATAATTTTAACCAGATTTTGTATATGGTATTCCTATGTTCCATTTTTACTGTAATTGGATTTAGGGTCCTGAAGGTCAAGCATAAAGTGATGCTGTGTAAAATGTAATTTTAAAAAGTTTTTTTTTTTTTTTTTAAGAGCAGGGTACTAGGTTCCTTCTGGGCTGGTTAATCAGCTGTGGGTGTTCATTGGCCCAGTCACTTTGTCTTTCTGAATCATGAGTCACTTCCCCTGTCCCTTGCCAAATCATGGAGTTAGGATCCTTGTGCTGCTGAAATGAGGTATATGAAGAAATGGACCAGAAAGGAAAAGAAAGAAAAAAAAGCCTTAAGTATCATAACCACTGTCCATTAAAAGATGAGTGAAAGATGAGCTGATCAACAGTAGGTGCTCAGTTTTTCAGCAAAAGCACCAGTGGTGGATCTGTGGACACACAGAATTTGAAGTGAGTACTCAAGGATGTCAACCCTCTGATGCAAACGGTGCTGGTAATATAGTTGTTATTACTAATTCCTTCATTATTATTAAGTACTTTTAAAATTGTACTTTTCAGTCCAAAGTGATAAAATTTTATGAAATTCCGAAATCTGGATATTGTCAGAAGCCAGTGTGATTGGTAAAATTAGCTCAAATCCACAATTGGCCCCTACACGCAGATACTACATTTGTTTAATAATGCTGCCATCTAGTGTTGGAAAGCAAATACACTGTGAAGGCTTAATATTAATAAACTCCCATTTCAGTTTGTTAAAATTCCCTGTGGGATTGTTTCCTTGGTGGGGAGAGGTTTATTATTATTTTAGAGCTCTGGTGGTACAGTGCCAAAGGCATTTGATTGCTAATCATAAGGTTGGCAGTTCAAACCCACAAGCCATTCCATGGAAGGAGGATGAGGCACTCTACTTACATAAAGATTACACCGCCTTAGAAACCCAGTGGGGGTTGCTATGAGTCGGAATCGACTCGGTGGCACTGGGTTTGGGTGAGTTGTTTTTTTGTTGTTGTTGTTTATATATATTCTTAGGAGCTCTGGTGGTACAGTGGTTAAAGCATCAGCTGCTAACCAAAAGGTCAGCAGTTTGAAACTATCAGCCATGGAAGAAAGATGAGGCAGTCTGCTTCCATAAAGATTATATAGCCTTGGAAACCCTATGTGGCAGTTCCACTCTGGCCTGTAGGGTTGCTATGAGTTAGAATTGACTTGATGGTGGTGGTTTTGGGTCTTTTTTTTTTTGTTTATATATCATTGCTCCCTGTGATTTCCATTTCCTGAGGAGAATGGTCAGTCTAACGCTTGATTTAAATGAGGTGTTAACAAAATTCAGAATTCAGACTTTAAGCGTATTCACACATGAGGAAAGAATAAAGTTTCATCTTTTCTGTGGATTATGGAAGGTGAATCCATGGGGAAAAAAATTTTAAATCCAGCTACAGAAGGAATGCATTTGTTCTTCCTGCCATAGATAAGAAGTGTAAGGAGGGTCATTTCAAACATAGACAATTATCTGAAAACCTTACAGGGGCTTGTGTGGAGATGCATGCTCTGCTCACTCAGGCTTTTGTGACTATAGTTCTGCAGTTAGGTATCTCCAAAAGTTGCTGCATTTTGACCTAAAGCCACTTCTTTCTTATTCAAGCCTGAGCTACACTTCTGTTTTCCAGAGGTCAGTATTACCACCCAGGTGGTTAGATAGACTAATCTGCTTAATTGACATCTCAGTCTGGTGACATAATGATTGAGAATTGGACTGCATTGCCGGACCACACTGGTTGGTGTCTGGTTCTGTTGCTGTATTTCAGCAGCATCTATAAAATGGCAGTAATGATTGTGTCTGTCCTGGCAGATTAAGAGAGTAATGCCTATAAAACACAGGGCCTCTCATGTAGTGAGCACTCTGTCTGTGGTAACTGTTGTTGCTGTTTAAACTTCATTTATTCCTTACATGAGGCAACCTCTGAAAGCCTAATGGTGTACCACACTTCCTATTCCAGGGAAAGTCTGACATTCTGTTCCTAGCTTGGCAGAAGTTGTACAGAGGCAACATGGAGAAATCTGGAAACATTTTGCTTCTTGTAGAGTGAAGGTTCTACCATTCATCCTTATTTTTTAATTTGAAATCACTGAATAGTCATAATTTTTTATGTAAATGTGAAAACATTTGCAATGTAAATGCAGGTAAATTTTATTGTTCAAAGTTTATGTTCCACTGTGCAAGTAAAAATTGCCAGCTGGATCTTGAAGCCTCAGGTGTATTGATTAGTGAGGCTTGTCTACATCCTGTTGTTAGCTTGCTTCTTTTCCTTCAACATAAAAATGATATTTCTTACCTGGAAAAGACATGTTAAGTTTCTGCAAAATAACCCAATCATGGTCTTTTTTTCAAAATAGATATGTTTAAATGTTGATGTATATGTTTTTGTACACATATATGTATAAAACAGTGTTCATCGAGGACCACATAATTTGTTAATTAATGAATTAGTGCCGTTTTCTGGTATATTTTTTTGGGTGTGTGGCAAATAGTCTTGGCCTTTTTTTTTTTTTGTAAAGATAATATATATTTTTTAAAGAATTGTCTCTGAGCTCAACAATAAACATATATGATGCCAGGAATCTGAAAGTACAAAAGTCACAGTTTAGCACAGGAAGTGAAACCTGTGCACCTCACTATAGTTACATATGGCCTGGACAGAGAGAACAAGAATTCTGCCCCAAGTGAGAATTCATAATCTGTGCTGATTTACATTGAGTGGTTTTGAGTGGTCAGTAGTGAGCTTTTAACAAACGACTGTATCTTTGATGATTCCTCACACTAGGAATGACAGGATAATTTATATAAATAGCACTGCCTTGGTATCCCATCAAATGGTTTTTGTTGTTGCTCTTTTGTATTAAGAGGGTATGATATTCCAGAAGGATTTGATAAGTTTTTAATATCCCAACAGATATTATTTGGTGCTCTTTCAAAAAGTATCCAAACACAAATTTATCATGATGGTTATTGTACGGTGTCCATAAAATAACTTTCATTAATAGCTAGTTTCCATTTATTGAATGCCTGTTGGGAACCAGACATTATATTGGGAATTTAATTTTCACCAATAGCCCTATGAGATAATTACCATAACTCTCCCCATTTTTCAAATGAGGTAACTAATAGATGATGTAATTTTCCCAGGTAACACAGCTAGGAGTTGAACCTATGTAGCTTTAATTCTAGACCCTAGCTCTATAGTTTTTTCAGAATGAAAAATGGGATGAAATAGGATTATAAAACCTTGCATTTTTTTACATCGACAAGTTATAATTAAATATTACTGCCTTACATTTGAAGTGAGATTCTGAATATGGAAAATACCTTAAAGTGCCAGAAAGTATTATGACAAGACAGTCTCACTAGTCTCAGTACAGTATTATTAGTGGAGGCCGAAATTTGCCATTCAGGAATTCATTGACTTAAAAGCCTCTTGTCATATTAACTTGCCAAGATGTATTAGCTTTTTAATAGTAATAGAATTCTGATATTGAGCATTTACTAGGGTAAAATGGTTTGATACAAAGTTACAATTTATTACAACCAAAGGAGCTTCTGCCTCTTTCTGCACAGCAATTACTCCACCTGCCTTCTCTTGAGACCTGCCCTGCCCCCTTACCTAGCAGATGATGCTGTCCCCACACCAGAGCAAAAGTACAAAATAATACTTCCTGGACTCTCTATCCCTCACATGCAAACTTCCCTGCATCCTCAGTCATTGATGCTAGCCTCTTCCCTGTTATCTGACATGAGCCTCTCCTCAACAAAGTGGATGTCATATCCCTGCCCCTTAATGGTACTGCTCTATGGGTGAGTGCTCTCTCTCCTACATGCCTTTCTCTTCTTGGGAGTACTTTGGGAGAGAACATTGTTGTGCATCTACTGTGTACTTAGTAGATCTATGATGCTGGGTGGGAGTGCCATAGCCTGGGCACACAACCCCAGGCAGGAAGGAGAACAATGATCAGGGAATAAAGGAGAATGGCAGCCCCTGCCTTAGAGGACGAACACTTCTTAGATGCTGGGTTTTGTGCATTTAATCCTCCCAGCAACCCTCTGTACTTCAGAGAGGAACTGAGATTCAGGAAGGGGAGTGACATCTACCAAGTTGCACAGTCTCTGTCCCTGCCATCCTTGTCTTGTCCCTATAATCTCCCGAGAGAGTGCTTTTGGTCTTTTGACTTTTCTTACCACTGTTGTGTTTCAGTGACTGTCAAATCAGATCACTTTCTGCAGGTTTCAGAAGTTGCCCTTGTTCATGTCCCATGGAGACCTCATACCTTTTAAGTACTAATCTTGCCTTTCTCCTCCCTCTGTTAACCTAAGGACACTCCTGGGATTGCCAGCTCAAGCAGTGGCACCACCACACAGGACCCAGAAACCAGGGTGTCCCCTCCCCTACCTGTCAGCCCCAGCTCCTTAGCCTCACCTTTCATTTCTCATCCTCTTTTCTGCCAGGGCCTTATCCAGACTGCATTGTTTCTCCACTGGATGACTATAATAGCTTTAGCCTCGCCCCTCAATCTGTCCTTTATGTGGCCACCAGAGTTCATATCCTGAAATATGAAGCCTAGTGGGTCATTCCCTGAATGTATCCCCATTGCCCTCCAGACAGTGTATCTCAAGACACTCTGCATTCTTGCCAGTGCTTCTCTCTTCCTCCATCGCCTCTTCCCCACAACCTCTCAGACTTAGCCCTAGGGAAGTACTAGCCGTTCCCAAGGTGGCTACCCAAGCCAGCCTGCCTAATCCCTTCCCTCAGTTTAAAGTCCTCATCCCTGGGTGACTCCTTCCCTTCCATGGAGCCCTACCACTTTGCCCAAGAGGAGTCCTTATTACCAGTCCCAGTGCCTCCTTTCCCTACCCATCACAGGACAGTGCCTGCCACCTGGTACTTAAGATTTGTTAAATGCTTATCTCTAGAATTTATAGGAAACTCCAACACCTCAACAACAAAAAGGACAAATAATCCAGTTAATACATGGGCAGAAGACATGAATAGACATTTCACCAAGGAGGATATTCAGGCGGCCAACAAACATATGAAGAAAGGCTCACAATCATTAGCCCTTAGAGAGATGCAAATGAAAACAACAATGAGATACCATCTTGCCCCAGCACTAGTAGCAAAGTTCAACAAGACACAAAATAACAAATGCTGGGAGAATGCAGAGAGATTGAGACTCTCATACACTGCTGGTGGGACTGTCAAATGGTACAACCACTGTGGAAAGCAGTATGGCGATTCCTTAAAGAGTTGGAAATAGAAATACCATTTGATCCAGCCATTCCATTACTAGGTATATGTCCTAAAAGAAGTGAGAGCCATGACAGGAACAGACATACGCACACCCATGTTCATCGCAGCACTATTTGCAATAGCCAAAAGATGGAAACAACCTAGGTGTCCATCAACTGAGAATGGATAACCAAATTGTGGTACATACACACAATGGAATACTATGCAACACTAAAGAATAACATAGAATCTGCAAAACACCACATAATGTGGATGAACTTGGAGGACATTATGCTGAGTGAAAGAAGTCAATCACAGAAGGACAGATATTCTATTAGTCCATTATTGTAAAAGTCAAGGAAAGGTTTACCTATGGAAGGAAATTTTCTTTATTGGTTACCAAGGGTGGGAGGGAAGGGGGATAGGTAGAGATAAGTATTGATTTGGGTGAAGAGAAGGGCAATGTACCAAATACGAGTGATCAACATGGTGGCATTGAGGAAGAGGAAAACAGAGAGAGATACATGGGAGGTACAGACAACAAAGATGAACCCTTTTGTACATACAGTACCACATTGTCAGTGAAGGCAAACATGGGTATGTGGGTGGATAGATGAGTGGACAGGCTGAACTAGTAGGTGAAGCGGGGAGTGTACCCAAGACCATGTATAGGGTTGGCAGACAATGGTCCTGTAAGTGTATTTGTATGATCTGAATTCCCAGGTATATAGTAGAGCTGACAAGGGACATGGTTATAGTCACTTCTTGGTCACAGCCAGCTACCCAGAGGGTCCGAGTAGTTGTACCTGTGGGCTCGAGACCATAGTCGCAGGGGGCATCAAGCTCATTTGGCATAACATACTAGTCAAAACATTGTTCCACCTCGTACTTTGGTGAGTAGCGACTGGGATCTTAAAAGCTTGCAAGCAGCCATCTAGATGCAACAATAGATCTCTCCTCATCCAGATCAAAGAAGAAACAAAACCAAAGATTCGTGGAAACAATGAGTCCTAGCGACTGGTACACCATGCAATCTGCAGCCTATATGACTAGGAGACCAGAAGAACTAGATGGTGCCCAGCTACCACTGTCAACCACTCAGAGGGGGTTCTGTGTAGGAGATCCTGATAGAGAAAACAACGTGGAACGAAATTCAAAATCATTTGGGAAAAAAAAGAGGGGGGGACTAGGTTTGCTGGTCTGATAGAGCCTGATGGAACTCCTAAGACTATGGCCCCTAGCTGCCCCTTGAGGTCTGTAATTGAACCCACACCTGTGGCTTCCAGCCAAACAAAAGACAGGCATATGAGTTGAACATTTACCTGAGGTAGATACACTTCTTGGAGAGATCAATCATAGGAGAAAGAAGAGCTGTTTATGCACAGGGAGACAGCTCTGGGCAGGAGTGCATGAAAGGATGGACACGGGGCAGAGGTAACTATTGGGAGGAAGTGTGTGGGGAGCTGTTACATTGGAGTAAATTGTAGTCAATGTCATGAGACAAAGTGCATATGAACTGTTGTATGGAAAGTGAATTTGCTCTGTAAATTTACACCCAAATCACAATTTAAAAAAAAAAGATTTGTCAAATGAATGAACAGATACTTGCCTACAAAAAACTGAGTATGTTTTCCTATAGAAATGTGATTGTGCTGTGGTACTATTACCATTAAACTTCAGATCAATGTACTTTAGGGCATTTATAGACTTCCTGAGGCCCTACAAATTCCAGCAAATTATTTTTTTCCCCATGGAAAGATGTATCTAAACAACTAAGAAGTCCATACATTTTTGGCATAAAACTGTAAGTTGGTGCTTCCTGTGTGTTCAGAGTACTTAGGTTTGTCTTCCACTGGAATGTGAGCTCTGCATGGTACCAATTTGTACAGGGTTTTTTTTTTTGTTTGTTTTGTTTTGTTTTTTTTCATTACTCTCTGATATGTCCCTTGGACCCAGTCAGAACAGGACCTGGAATTCTGTGATAATACTCAGTTAAATGAATACAGCAACCCTGCTTGAAGATGCAGGAAAGCTCACAAGTGAAAAACATGTGTATTTTTCCTTTGAATAGTCAATTGGTGTCAAACCAGTTCACTAAAATATGTAAGTTTACGTTTTTGAGGCTTTTTGAAAATTTATATTATTAAATGATGGAAATTATTATTGTGCTTGTTTTTTCTTAAGGATTCTGTGATTTAGGGACAGGGGGAGTGACTTGCTATCATAAATAATGTTTAATTTTATTTTAACCATTTGGGGGGACCCAGTCCTCAAAATGAGTTGCCTTTTTATCAAGAGTAGTGAATTAAAGGTAGGATCATTTGATGAGCATTTAGTCCCAATGACCTCTTGGGTATCATTTTTCCACATGTGTTACTGACATTGGGGCAGTTAGGTACAGTGAGCTCTGTAATAAGGAACTATCATTATACATGTCTGCCAGGGGTGGGGAAATAAGCTCTGACACAGAAATCCCTAAAATTTGGATTTTACTATTGCAGATTTCTATGCACAACTCAGGGAGACCTAGCCTTAACCCCCAGTATATCTTTCGTTTGCTCTGTTTATTTTAAAACTCCATCTGCCCTTGTTTCTACAGACTATTTTAGTTGATAGAAAAGAGATTTGGTGACACCGGTTTTTGAGAGATTCCTTTCATTGGGTGGTTTGATCTGTTTTTCAGTCCGCTCCATCTGGACACAAACATCTAACAGTAGAAGAACTCTTTGGAACCTCTCTGCCAAAGGAACAGCCAGCAGTCATGGGTCTTGATTCAGAGGACATGGAGAGGCTGGCAGGAGATGCCCCCCAGAAGGATCCTAGCCCATTCCTACCATTTTCCTTTGAGCAGTCAGGAGGAACCCCTCAGTCAGAAAACCTGGCTGTTCAATCTGCTGCCCACCACTCAGTCCAACCTGAAGTCACCACCCCAGTGTTGATCACTCCTGCCTCCATCACACAGTCCAATGAAAAGCATGCTCCAAGCTACATGATCCCGATGAGCCCTGTTCTCAGTCCCACTCTACCAGCAGAAGCTCCTACTGCACAGGTTCCCCCCAGCTTACCTCGAAACAGCACCATGATGCAGGCAGTGAAGACCACACCTAGACAGAGGTCTCCACTCCTCAATCAGCCAGTCCCTGAGCTAAGCCACACCTGTCTGATTGCCAACCAGAGCTCCTTCAGGGCCCCACTGAGTGCAACAAGCACAGCTGGTACATCCCTTGCAAGCGTGGATCTTCTCCAGAAACTCAGGCTGACGCCACAGCATGACCAAATACAGGCACAGTCACTTGGGAAAGGTGCAATGGCAGCTAGTTTTCCTCCAGCAGCTGGCCAATTGGCCACACCTGAAAGCTTCATAGAGCCTCCCCTGAAAACCATAGCAGCCAGAGCAGCAGTCTCGGCATCCCTGAACAGCATGGTGCTCCCTCCCCTTCAGGTACTAACAGGACGGTGGGGAGTAGTGGTTGGGGGTGAGAGGTAACTAATTGGGTGGCATGATCAGAGTGTACATTTTAGGGTGATTGGTATTTTTGTTTTTGCTCTTTCCTGAGTCATCATTTGGTACAGGATCACAGATCCAGATTATCCTAAGCTTTGTTCCATTCCCAGCTTCCTCAGTACTCTCATTGGGTGCCTGCTTTGTGCCAGGCATGCTAGGGGTGCATCCCAGATATAGCTTCCCAAAGAAATTGATGTTCAAGCCAAGATCTGAATATACCATAGAAGTTAACCAGACTTTTCCTAGAGATGGTAGGGGACTGTGAGGCAAGGAGAGTAGCATATGCAAAGCCCAGAGGTGAAAAGCATTTGAAGAACTTAAAGAACCATTGTGTGACTATATCTACTGTGAAAAGAAAGTTGGGGGAGCTGAGATGAGCAAGACATAAATTGTGTCAGTGAGTTAGAGCTTTGTTCTTAGAGCCCTGGGAGGTGTCTTTGAAGGGCATTGAGCAAAGGTGAACCTACTAGGAAAGGGTTGGGAAGAGGACAGCCCATCAGGAAGGAAGCTAGGGCAGTCACCCAGGCTAGAGCTGATGAGGGCCTTAGTTGGGGACAGTGGACAGGTGGATTTGTTAAGATGAATGATCAGTGGGACAGCAATAGATTGGGTGTGGGGGTTGAAGGAGAAGATTGTCCTGCACAATAATTTCCTAAGGTCTGTGAGTTTACAGGTGAGAAAATGAAATCAGTTTAAGTGACTAGTGCAAGACTATACAACCAAAAGGGGTAGAACCTTTTGTTCTGTGATAGCATTGGGTTGTCTTTTGGGATTTTAGTCTCTTGCCCTTTTATAATAATAATCTCCAATCTTAACATTTTACCAAATAATATTGTATGCAAGAGCCTTACAATAATTGTATATCATCTTAGTTAATGGAGTGTTTTGTTCTTTTCCTTTGAAACCTTATGCAGAAAAAGGAAACTTAGTGTCTTCATTACATCATTCTATTGTCATTCATTGACCTTTTCTGCAGTGTAAAACCAGGAGAGAAAATTCAGTACAACAGACAGAAATGTGCCTGCTGCCACTGTTCTAGGTGCTGTAAAGGTATAACCAGCAATCTGTGAGGCTTTGGGATAGCCTGACAGAAAGCTGTCCTCTCCAGACTGTGACCTCTAAGACAGCACACTGCTGTCTAGCCTGCTCCTTGGCAGGAGAAGCCAGCATGCATGTAAATTTCCACTTACTTGGTAGGATCTGATACTAGAACCCGGGACTTCCTTGAGCTCCTATGTATTTGCAGTACAGCAAGAAGCTTTTTTCTCCCAGTGATTAAGGACAAAATTTAGGATGCAGACATGACTGAATGAAGACTGTTTAGCAATACTTGTCCAAAGTTTAAACCTTATCAGGGGTATCATGATGCAGAGATCGCTCATCTCTACAGAACCCAGTCACAAAAATATGCCTGAGTACCCCCAGCTTTTGTAAGAGATGCGGGTTTCAGCTTTTTTCTTAGTGATACCTTAAAGGATTTACATGTGTCCCTTTTCTCTGAGACCTGAGGATAGAAGGCTGTCCTTTCTCTCTCACTGTTGCATTGAATCATTAGTCTCATTTTGAGACTAATGTCAGCTTCTTCCCTCAGGAATCTAGGAACTTGTTAATATCTGAAGCGTTCCTTATTGCTACCCTAGAATTTTCACCAGTAACTAGAAAATCTACTTAACTGACACTTGCTACATTTGTTCATCTTTTCTTTTTAAATATTGCAGTCTATGCAGCAAAACCAGGACTCCGAAGTATTTGCCCAGCCAAAGGTGTTACCCAGTGCCATCCCAGTAAGTGTTCCCTTTTTCTGAAAAACACATTATTTGTTTTTAAGTTCTTCTCGAGTAAAATGCCCCTTCAGTGAAAAGTTTTAGCTTTCAAGCCTATACCCATCTCAGATGCACCCTCCTGGGCCAGGCCCCCCTGCTCCCCTAGTCAGAGTTCATTGCTGTGGCCTCTGTAGACCCCAGTCACCTCTCTGTATGAAAGAAAATCTTCTCCTGACTCTCACAGTGTTGCAAATGGGTGACAGCTATGAGTGGGTCAGCCCAGTTTCTACTAGTAGGACTTATTCTTTGCCCTATAAGAGCTGTGATGTCAGTAAATTTGCTCTGTAAACTTTCTCCCAAATCACAATTTAAAAAAAAAAAAAAAGCTATCCAGAGGGACCAAGTAGTTGAACCTATGGGCTCAGGACCATGCTCACAGGGGACATCAAGCTCAGTTGGCATGACATACTACACAAAACATTATTCCACCTCCTACTTTGGGAAGTAGCAACTGGTATCTTAAAATCTTGCAAGAAGCCATCTAGATGCAATGATGGGTTGCTCCTCGGAAACAATTAGTCCTAGCGACTGGTACACCATGAGATCTGCAGCCTATATGACAATGAGACCAGAAGAACTACCTGGTGCCTGGCTACCACCGTCAACCAGTCAGAGGGGTATCTATGTAGGAGATCCTGGATAGAGAGGGAGAACAATGTGGAATAAAACCCAAAATCATTTGGAGAAAAGAAAAAAGAATGAGGGGGGACCAGGTTTGCTGGTCTGATAGAGCCTGGTGGAACCATTGAGATTATGGCCCTTAGCTGCCCCTCAGGTCTGGAATTGAACCCACACCTGTGGCTTCCAGCCAAACAAAAGACAAGAATATGAGTTGAACATTTACCTAAGGTAGATACATCCCTTGAAGAGAACAGTCATGGGAGAAAGAAGGGCTGTGTATGCACAGGGAGACAGCTTAAGGGACAGGAGTACATGGAGGGATAGACACAGGAAGAGTAACTATTGGGAGGAAGTGGGAGGGGAGCTGTTGCATTGTGGTAAATTGTAGTCAATGTCATGAGACAAAGTGTATGTGAACTATTGTGTGGAAAGTGAATTTGCTCTGTAAATTTTCACCCAAATCACAATTTAAAAAATTTAAAAATAGCTGTGATGCCCCAGGTCATGTAAGGCAGAGTTACTTCCCTGCTATAGTCCTCTCATTGGCTTCCCACTGCACTGAGGACACAGCCCAAGTGCCATGATATAGCCTGCCACATCTGTCCCTTGCTTGTCCTCCCCTTCCTCTTCCTCTTCCTCTTAAAAGTTGCCCATACTCCATCACCTACCACTCATTTTGTTTTTTGTGTGTTTTCAGTTCCTTAAATTCCTATTTGCCTTTGAGACTTTATACCTCTCCTTCAGTCTCAGAATTTAAACTAAACTGGCTACTGGGTGGTCTTATTATCTACCCTTCTCTGTTACTTGTCATACTACAGGGTGATCAGCAGGAGCTATCAGCCTGGTGCTGTACCAGAAAACAACATAAATGACCCCTTAAAACTGTGACAGGCTCTTTGCTATTTGTAACAAGGATAACAGACAGGAGAAAGAAACACATCTAACTGGGGGAAAGCTCTGGTAGCATAGTGGCTAAGGCACTTGATTGCTAACCAGAAGGCTGGCGGTTCAAACCCATCAGCCACTCCTGGGGAGGAAGATGGGGCAATCTACTTCCGTAGTGATACTGCCTCGGAAACCCAGGGAAGGGGTCGCTATGAGTCGGGTCCGACTCGACGGCACATAACAACAACAACACAACAACAAGCTGTAATTAGCCCTAGAAACACATCTAACTGGGGGAAAGTGGTGGGTATTTTATTTTTTAAGAAATTTTGTTTTTGATAGCTGTAATGGTAATAGAAATATATTGAGCATTACAAAAGAAACATGCTGCACATAACTAGATTTTTTTTAAATTCTCTTTATTGAAATATAACTTTGCATACCATAAAATGTACAAATTTTTGAAGAGTCTTGACCCATATATACCCCTTGGGCAACCACTGCCCCAGTTGAGAGATACAGCATTTCTATCATTCCAGAAAGTTCTCTCATGCCCTTTTCTAATCATCTGCCCATGTGTCGTCACTCCCAACCCCCATGTAACTGAACTTAGAATTTTTAACTTTAATAGGATGACTCTTACTGTGCATGCCATGCTGTTATTTATCATACTTGCCTTTTGTGATAATTGGATTTGATTTCCCATAACAACTCAAGGACCTTATCAGTAAATGGACCCTTCATTCTTTAACTAACAGAAACTTTGTAACCAGATGTAAAATACTCAAATGCTTCTAGGCAGTATTCTTTATCAGAACCCAGTAGTTAACATCTGACTCTGCTCCAGTGTCACACTGCTTATGCCTGTTAAGAAGTGTTCCTATGCTGGTCCTGGCTGTGCCTTCTACACTTTGATACAGAATGGTCATTGTTCCTCTACAGGTTGCAGGCCCTCCACTGGTTACCACAACCACCACAGCAGTACCTTCTGTCCTGCTGTCCCCAAGTGTTTTCCAGCAGACATCTACAAGGTCCACAGACCTTGACAGGAAAGCAAACTCCCCTTCTCCTCTACCTGTTGGGACATCAGAAAATCAAAGAAAGCCTTCCATTATTCTCAGCAAGGCTCAGCTCCAGGATACGTTAATACATCTGATAAAGGTACAGAGTATATCAATTTAATCTTTTGATTTTTGTTCTTTGCTGAAAGATAGCAAATTTTATAGATTCTCCTTAGAAAATCAGTTCATAAAGTAAGTTCAGAAGATTAGCTGGGAGTAATGTTTCCCTCTTCCCAACCACACACTGCTGATGGAATAATATCTAAAAGAATGAACTCTGAAATATTATTCATGGTCTAATTGATCTGGGCAGTGGGATTATTTGGGTAATTAGTTATACAAGTCATCTAAGCTGTTACCAAGGAAGTAAGTTCCGATGAGGTAAAGGTGACATTTCATGTTCTTATGATCTCTTCCAGAATGATTCTAGCTTTCTCAGTACACTTCATGAAGTCTACTTGCAGGTTCTGACCAAGAACAAAGACAACCTCAACCTATGACTGGAGCTGAGTGAATCTGAAGGCACCTGTCAACCTCAGAAACAAATAGGCTTTATCATGGAAACTCCTAAACAGAACACTGCGTTTTGAGAATCCTGAAATTGAGCCTATAAGAGAAGAGACTCGTTCCTTAAGAATGTTTTCCAAGTGACGTTCCCAGTGTTAATGGAGGTTTCACTGTGAAGCATCACCAGCAGACCTTTGTTTTGACAAAAAAAAAAAAAAAGACAGTTGTGTTAAGTTAGTGGGTGTTTTCATCAGCTGTGATTAAGTATGTGAATTAAGTAAGAGTCTGATTTTCAGCTTGCTATCATTTTCAAGTACTTAGGGAGGAGTAGTCACCAGCCTTGCTGCAGTCAGAGTTCTGCCCAGCCTGCACCCCTTATCCCCCACCTGCTACCTGCTAGTAACATGACGCTCTTGGGCATCAGGCTGATAGTGAGAAGAATACAAGTCAGCTCTGTGCGAAGGAACTTCAGTTTTAAGGATCAGAGTTTTCAGTTGGAAAATCAGGACTGATTTGTTTAAGTGAAGTATATTTTATATGAATGCCCCATTTGGGCCTTAAAAGTTCTGTAATTTACTAATTGTGTTTTATTTTTAAGTGTCCCCAGTCTTGCCATGCAGCAGGCTCCCATTGCCGTGTTACTGTTTGAATAGGGCCAGGTCAGGCCCTGTGGTGGTGTGGAAGCAGGCATGTCACACTTTGAAGCAAAGAATGGGGTTGGCAAAGCCCAAATACTATAAGAAATCTTCATGTTAAGATAAACTCTCCAATGGTTTTGAGAGTGTTAAGTTTGTATGTGAAGCGTAGCCTTATTTTCCTTTTCTATCTAAATACCAGTTAGAAATCATCGTTGATTGTTTTCCTTAACACTTTGACAAAAGGACCTATGGACCAATATGACAAAGCCATTCTGGTTCCATTCCTCATGTATTGAGAATAGTTTTAAAGCTATGCAGAAAAAGGAGCTATTATTCACACTGCCCTTACTTTGTTGTAGAATATGAAGTTTAAAAGTAAGAGTGAATTCAGAATTTTACCAATGTATTCCTAGGCTGTGAGTATTTTTCCGGCCCAAAGTGTGAAGATATGTAAAGATGCTTTGTTATGCTGCTATTAATCTACCACGATTTATATTTATTCTTTTATGGCATGTAATGGTGATTAGTAATATTTTAATGTAGATTTTGATTGATTTCAGCAGTAGTAATTTTAAGATACCTTTGGATGAAAGTGTCTTCGTTTCCATGATACAGGTCGTTTTGTAGTATTTAACCAATTAAGATGCACTGCTTACTTTTCTCAGCACTATTTAATGATGGGGTAAAAACCCAATTGGCTCAACCAGCTAGCATAAGAATTAGCTGTGAATAATAATGCTGACAGATATGATTGTTCCTTGGGGATGATCATTTAAGCTTTAATGGTAATTCAATCATAAGTCCGTAGATTTTTCTAGCTGAAATTTAAAAAATTACTTGTGAATTACATACTTTGTTTTAGTTTGGTCTTAGTTTTTTAGCATAAAGAATACTTTGTTTGATTGGCTTTTGTTAGTCTAAATATGCTTCCTGAACAACTTTTCCGCTTCTCAGTTTATTATCTTCTATTGTTATCTACCTAGTTATATGTGAATTGTACAGAATTCAGGAAAGCTTTTAAGTCCTCATACTCGATTAGGAACCATTGGTTTTCAAAGATAGTATATAAATCCCGTAACCAAAAATGAATTGTTCACGCATCATCCAGGAAAGAGAGAGTTGTAAAAAGAGAATAGTATTGCTGACCCCAGGAGATATGGTGTCCAGGGAGCCATGTGACTGTTCTCGTAAATGGATGCACCAGTGGTTTGATTGTACCTCCAGTATAGTCTCACTGGGCTTTGGTAAACAGAAGAATCAAGGAATTCTTGTTATAATAGACATTTGAGTTGAAAAGATGCTTTTGAGGATATATAATACTACGAAAGAAGTAAAAGAAATATCTTGGAGGATCTGTAAGCAGATCTGTTCAATTTTAGCCTATAATCCAAGGAATGGATATGGTAGACAGTAAAGAGAATACTATGATACCGTTTCCCTCAGTGTGAACCTAAACTTTTTAAGTGCCCAAGTCATGGAGACTTGAAAAAGGTAAACCTGTTTCAACTCCTAATGTGTATATTTGAAGCATTTAAAATTCAGAAGGCAGAAGTTCATGGTCGTGGTTACCAGGCAGTGCAGGCCAGAATGAACCCCTAGAGAAGCCAGGCCAAGCCTGGGGAGTTATAGTTGGATGACCCTGGCCCAAAAGTCACAGTTGAGTTGCCTTATTCCTCATTCAGGCTCACGATCCAGAACCTCATGCCAGCTTAGGTTGCATGTTTACATTGCTGCGCAAGTGTCTTTACTAGACATTTAGTTTAAAACCTTAGTTGAATCAAAACAGACACCAAAAAAGAGATACTTTCTGCTAGCTTTTGCAGAACTCCTGGAGACCTGCATTCAAGAAACTGTCTGTCTGTGTGCCCACCCCACCCCCAGGTCTGAACACAGGCTCTGGAGAAGAGCAGCCCAGAGCATGGAATGATGTGTCTGGCTGTCCCTGGGGGTAGGCCTGCCCTTCTTTCTGTGGTGGTTTGGTATCTTTGAATGGATTCATGCAGCCTCTAAACAAACTTGTTCCTTTAAGGCAGAAGCTCCTCATCATTGTGCATCTCTCGTAAGACTGAGGTGTGAAAGTTGACCTGGTTGACTTTGAATCCTAAGTTTTCAAGTGACTGTCAGTATCAGGAGAAGCATTTCTTGCTGTCTGCATGTGGAATGTCCACAGCTTAGCTTCGAGGCTTAAGAACAGCCATCAGAGATTGGTGTTTCGTTAGGCACCCAAGTTGACCTGGATCCTTCTTGGCCAAGGATTCACAGGTTGTTTAGAAAATATCTGAACAAGCTTTGCATGTTAAGCATTTGTTCTTTTTCTGACCTATGTTCTCTTGTAAAAATTATAAACCCCGTTGAATCCTCTACTAGGGAGATATTTTTTAAACCATATAGCTTTATTACTCTCCTCCCCAAAGAATGTAGTTTGAAATTTTGTCATTTTGGTAGTGGAGATCGTGACTGCCATTGTATTACTAATAATCCAGCATGAAATTGAAGGTGCCTAACTGCTTATAAAATAAAATCCATCATTATACTGTAACACTGGGCAAAAAACAGAGGGGAGAGAGGCGGCACAAGCACGCATGATTCAGCCCGTGTGAGCATAGAGAAGGGAGGAATCACAGGGATGTGTGTCCCTCATTCTTGCTGCACATTTGCTGCTGAGACCATATTTCTTTCTTACCTACCTTTGGTTTTCTTTAGTTATGTTCAAGGTACCTTCTGGAACCAATAATGCCCTGTTTTCAAGTGTCTAAAATGTTAAGATCGGAAGAAAGTAAAGAAGCTTACACTAGGATTTTCAAAAGTTGTGCTTGAGAACATTTTTCCCTGAGTGGGCCAGGGCCTCAAGGAGCCCGTTTTCCAGCAAATTCAGCAGGAGAGATGTGTGCAATGTTTCACTCAGTTTTATATTTGACATCTTAATTTAAAATGCTAAGATGCAATATCGTTCACTTTGAAGTGGGGAAAACGCATAACTGTTTTCCTTTTATCCGTGTGATTCCCTAAGAAGCATGTTTTTAAAATATGTGTTCGAAATGGTTTTTTATTCTGTATTAGTGCTTTGGCCACATGGCTCTCATGACTTTCAGTGTACCAGATTCTCAGCTCCCTGAAATGTGGGGGCGAGAAGCTCTAAAGTTACAGCGAGATTTTTGTTCCATGAGCGCAATACTGCATCGTTAACATTTTTAATGGTATGGATTTTATACCATCTGTGTATGTTTGCAAATATTAAGTTATTACATGTTTTAAAATGAGCATTTTTCATTCTAAATTTTATATGTTTGCAAATATATTTTTTTAATAAAATTTCAAAACCAAGTTTTAGCACCTACTAAATTTTAATTGTGTTTTTATTCAATTTGTAGAAATTGAAACTTTTGAATAATTTGTTGCACTTTGCCAGAGCCTCATATGAATAAGGTGGGTGGAGTGAGAGAGCAAAACCAACAAAGAAAGCCCATACCCATTCATTTCCAGCGAACTGAACCGGATTACACGCCACACCCTTATCAAGTCAGAAAGCCTAAGTGCCACTGCCTATCAAATAAGCACTTCCTTCCCAGTACTTAAACATAAGTGTCCAGGTGAACACAGGGACTTCAGTTACACCCCTAAGGTTACTCCAGATAAAGAGTGCAGTTCTAATCTCAGGTTAGAAGAGGTTGTGGTTCCTGTAGGCTGTTTATTAGTCCCATGGACTGCTTTCTTCTTTGAGCCTTTGCTTTCCTTCATTGTCTTTTGCTCCATGTGAGTAGAGATCAACTCCCAAGCTTTTGATACTCACCAAACTAGGGTGTAGAGCATTCTGTTAAGCCATTTATTATACTAAGTCATCTACCAAGACTATGGTCCCAAGCCGCTTGACTCAGTAAACCAATCTCATGAGTTGTTTGGATGTAGACTTTCTATACTTTGTCGGTTAGTCATGTTACTGCTGTGTGTCAGAAGCTGCAGGGGTCTTTTGTTTCTTGTTTTTCATCTGTCATGACCTAGGACACCAGGTAGCCAGGTTCTTCAGAATGTCACGAAAAACTAAGGTGAGTACTCTCTGAATAAAGAGGTACAGAATATAGGTGGGGTTCTGGGTCTCCCATAATTGTTGTTAATGACACTTTCACTCATTTGTGGATTCTGAATAATTGATCTCTGAATTAGGAATTTGTAAAGAAAAGATTGCTGAGGTTTCTGGGAAACAAAATTTGTCTCAGAAATCAACCATTTCTCCTTCTGGATGAGAAGCTAGAAATGTGGCAGCCATTTTGTCACTGGGGAAGCCTGCCTTTAGAAGGCAGAAAGGAGCCTGGGGCTTAGGACCATACTCGCAGGGGACACCAAGGTCAATTGACATAATATAGTCCATAAAGACAGTGTTTTACATCCTACTTCGGGTAGCAACTGGGGTCTTAAAAGCTTGTGAGCAGCCACCTAAAGTGCAGCTATTGGTCTCTCTCCATCCATAGCAAAGAAGAGAAGAAAATCAAAGCCACAAGGAAACAGTTGGTCCAAAGAACTAATGGGCCCCATAAACCCCAGCTTCCATGACCCTGAGACCAGAGAACTAGATGATACCTGGCT